TTCTGCCGCACCAGTGGCTGGATTTCGATTCTGGGAGGGAAGAATGTAGCATCGACAGAAATTTTTAAAAATATTTAGGGTACAATTGTCCAGATGCTCTCAAAGAGCATTCCGTGTTGCTTGAGAAAAACTTGGAAGTTTTGTCCTTACGCAGGTAACTGGCTATTCTTTTCTAGCATCCAGGTGATTTTCTTATTTCCTTTTTCTTGCAGAGATATTGACGTAGAGCTGGTGCTTGTCGAGGGATAAGTCAAGCGATCTTGCTGCATTGAAGGAACTTGAAACGTTGCAGGTTGTTTAGCAGCGGTGAACTGATCAGGCTCAAGGTATGAAAATTTTGAGCTCGCTTTATCGTTTCTTACTACGGCCTTCGTAGAATCCATAGTCTGTCCTTGATGGAAGCGAAGGTTGGTCCACTTCTGCAGAAACCTCAGGGTCTTTCAAATGAAGTGTACAGACGAATGCAACGTCAGGGATTGAAACCAGCCATTGGCATTGTTGTTGGTGCTCTCAAGGTATGTAGAAGCATGAGAGATCTACAACTAGGCAGGAGAATGAACAGGGATGTTTCCGAGACAGGTGACTTCTCAAACATTATCGTCGCCAACATCCTGCTTGATCTGTACGCGAAATGCGGAAGCATGATAGATGCTCGTGGAACATTTGACAGCATGCCGCATCGCGATGTTGTCTCCTGGAATTCGATCGTACAGGGATATGATATGCACAGAGTGGAAATGGTGAAATGGCTCTACAGTTGTTTGCTCGTCTGGGAGACGAAGGGTACAAACCGGATCGAGTATCAGTTCTTGGTGCTCTCAAGGCTTGTTCCAGCTTGATAGAGAAGGATTCCGGGCAGGCTTTGGATGGTCAACTGGTGGTATTCTTAGAGAGGAGCAGGGAGATTCACAGGAAAGCAGTAAAACTTGGCTTAGACTCGGATCTCTTCGTCGCGAGCACCTTGATTGATCTTTACGCAAAATGTGGGAGCTTGACAGAGGCTCGTCGAGTTTTCGAAGGAATGAGCCATCGTAGTGTGGTGACATGGAACTGCATGATTCTCGGGTATGCCAGCAGCGGCGAGGGTGGTGAAGCTCTCGATATCTATGCTCGAATGCGTCGTGGAGACACTCCACCGGATGCTTTAACTTTCATCGCAGCGCTGAAAGCTTGTTGCCGTCTTGCGGACGAGGAACTTGCCCATGCCCCGGCACGCATTCGTGGCATGTTTGTTCCCCCATCGATGGATCGATCAGTTGTTTATGGTGAAGAAGAAACGGAAGTCTTGAAGATTCAGAGCTTCGAAAAAGGAAGGGCCGTTCGCTTGGAAGCTGGTGAGCACTATTCAAACATCTTAGTGACCAACACACTTGTGGAGTTCTATGCCAACTGTGGGAGCATGGTGGAGTCTCGCAGTTTCTTCGACAGTATTGAACGTCCAGACGTGGTTTCTTGGAACTGCCTCACTCTTGGTTATGCTCAGAACGGCAAAGGCGAGCAAGCTCTTGAGATATTCTTTAGCATGGACGAGAATGGTTGCGCTCCAGATCGTGTCACAGTTCTTGCTGCACTAAAGGCCTGTGTCACCTTGGCTGAGAAGGAACAGGGCCAGATTGTCGACGGAGGCGTCGTTAAGCTTCGGGCTTTGCAGAGAGGCAAGGCCGTGCATGCTCGAGCTCTCGCTTTTGTGGACGGAGAAGACCTCTCGGTTCATAATGCTCTCGTTGACATGTACGCCAAGTGTGGAGGCATGGTGGATGCTTGGGTGGTTTTCCAAGATATGGTGGTGCGACTTGGACGGGGATAATCCTGGGGTATGCTTGCGGCGGCCAGCACAAGCTCGTCTTACAATCGTTCGAAAGCATGCAAGAGGAAGGTGTTAAGGCAGATCATGTCACTGCTACTGCTGCATTTAAGGCTGTTGCGACTCTAGCAGAGAATGAAGACCGCAAGCTTGTGAAGAAATAGCTGGAGAAAGGCAGAGCTCTCCACTTGCAAGTCGCAAGGATTTGCGAACTGGATGACTACTTTTCGGTGGATATGTATACCAAGTGTCAAAGCATGGCGGAAGTCTTCACAGCATCAAAGGCCCCTTGATCTTGGGATATAGTCGGTTTGGAGAACCCGAGCGAGCTCTGGAGTTCTACACTCGGTTGCTGCACGAGAAAAGCTTGTAACCGGACGTACGTTGCTGCTCTCAAAGCCTGCGCTGAGCCTTGCAGCACTGGACTTCGGGCAGCAGATTCACGTACAAGCTTGCAGTGCTGGACTGGATACAGAGGCATCGGTGGGAAGTTCTTTCGCTCAAAACGAGGCGCTCAAAGAGCGTGGCCTTGCAAGGTGGACGCGGTGGTGTGGATGGCATTCTTAAGTTCGTGCCTCAAGTGGAGAAATGTGGAGCTTGGCAGGATGGCCTTCAAGTCGGTTCTCAAGCTCGACGATGGAACAGGCTCTGCGTACTCTCTCACGTCCAACATCTATGCCCGAGGTCAGTCGGATTTACAACTCCAACATCATAGGAAACAGTTGTTGGAACGATTTAATGCTTCTTTTAACAGGAAGGCATGGGGACTCAAGAGAAAGGAACAGAACACAAGCGAAGAACAGCGAAGAACAAGGATAAAGCAAGGAGAGGGGAAGCGGTTTAAAGGTATGTAATCGTTGCCTAATCCTACAGCAAAGCATGGAAGTTTCTGGTCCCATTGGCCCCCGATGTTTATCATTTTCTCGCTCAACATGCCTTTGTGACCTTCCAACCAGCAGTGGCCTTGTTAAACAAGCAGCTCCGCAAGCTTACCATGGATATGTCACTCGTGTTGGTAGAGCCACAAACGCTCGTGTTTCCTCTCGTTTTTCTTCTGTCTTGCTTGGCTTGCATACTTTTCGTGTGTCGAATGAGCTTCCCTTCTTGCGAGTGAGTTCTTGAAGTGGCTGTCCAAAAGGCTTAAAATGACATGTTGTCTGGTTTTTTGTAAAATTTGCGTCACTTGGCTTGTACAAACTTTGTTCAATCCATGAATTTGCGACAGGAAGAAGAGCGCTTGAACGTGGATGATGGTGTGCTTTGGATCAACGTAGCCAGTGGAAGTTAGAAAAATGGAAGAACGAGGTGAAAACATTGACAGCGAAAGAAAGCTTTTTGATCCTGTGATCTCCAGGTTTGCGGATACGGTGAAAAAACTCAGTTTTGGTGGTGTAGTAACTTTTTGACTTTGTAGGGTTGAACACGCAACAAATAAAAGGGAAAGAGTTGACGGCTTATAAATTCCCACACTCTAGGATCTGTAGGGTAGGGAATTTAGGGTTTGATGGCAGAAACTTTTGGAAGGTTATCTGGGGATCATGGGTTGGAGAGGAAAATCAATGTTTTTTGGGATTCTGGTTGTGACCGTGATATTATCTCACAGAAATTAGTAGATGAATTCAATATTACTGTGGAGAGTAATTCACAAGTTAAAGATTTCAAGTTTATGGTGGAGGATTGTGAATTTAAAACAAGTTTGACTGTAAAACCATTGATTCTTGATCATGATATAATTTTGGGTTCACCTTGGATACATCAACATTGCTTAAAATTAGACTGCAGTGGCACTATAAACAGTTTAACTTTTGAGGTCAATAATTCTATATATTGCCTCAAGGAGATTGATGGTGCCCTTGATGATCACTACCAATTATATAAGTGCAGAAAATACAAGAGAATAAATCAACATATATGTACTACTTTTCATTATGCAGAATACAGTGGGAGAATCAATGATCATCACATCACAATTGAATTTGATAATGGTTCTGATTGGTCAGCTATATCACTTCAACTTCTCAAGAAACTTGGGCTCAAAGCAATTCGTGATTACAAGTATTTTACAAAAAGATTAACTGCAGATGTGCAAATGAAAGATGGTTATGGAATTGAGAATTTAACGTATAAAATGGGAAGCTTTTCAGAAAGTACAGATTTTATTGGTATAAAAGAGAATATAGATACCATAATTTTGGGGATGAATTGGCTTAAGAAGCACTCAGCAATAATTGACTTCAGGAATCATATTGTTACTTTTAAATCTAGTGAATTGGGTTGCTGGTATAGACTTCAATATCCAAATGGTGTATTTGAAGTCAGTAAAGATAGATTTGTTACTGAGACAGATAGTTTATGTTGGTGCCACCAAAAAAAAAGGGCCTCAGTCTTGGTTATGGCAAAGGCAAGCAAGCTCTGGAGCAATTCTTTAGGATGGATAAGAATGGTTCTCCAAATCACATCACAATTCTTACTGCACAGGATCAGATTGTTGACCAATACATTGTTAAGCTTGGAGTTTTTGAGTTCTAAAGGCAAAGCCGTGCATGCTTGAGCTCTGGCTTTTGTGGACCAAGGGGACCTCTCTCATGGACATATACCTCTCTGGACATGTGTCATAACATAAATTGTTTTATATTTTGATTCTGTTTGAATAAATATTATCATAAGTAGAAATACTTTGCTACACATTGCTAAATTCAATGCTTAGTTTGTTTAATAGAAGTGTTATTTCTCTAAATTAATCCAATTGATCAATTAAAGTTTATAATTTTTAACATGTTGATAATGTATAAACACAAGATTAATCTTATTGAATATGATATTAGATTAAACTAGAATATCCTAGAAAGCGTTTAGTGTTTATATAAATTAAAACCATATTTATAAATTAGAGATACAAGATTAATCTAAATGAATAACAACTGTTAGATGGTAGAATATCCTAGAATATCCAAGCATATTCTAGGTATAATCATCCCCTTATAGGTTTGGTTAAGCAAACAAATAATTTGGTGCACGTTGCATGCAATAATACTTAATTCTTAATAGTAATATTATTTTTATTTATTAATCCATTTGATCAAAGAAACTTTTATAATTATAAAGATATTGATAATTTATAGACACAAGATTAATCTTATTTAATATCAACCATTTGACTGTAGAATAAACTAGAATATATTAAGAAGTGTTTAGGAAAGTTTACAAGATTAATTTAAATGAATAACAACTGTTAGAAAATATCTTAAAATATCCAAGCATATTTTAGATATATCCACTACCCTTCTACAGGTTTGCTTATGAAAACCAAAAATTTAGATAAATTGAAAACTACAAATAAAATTTTCACTAAAAAATATAACATTTATATTTATACATATGTATAAAGTTTTACAGAAAGAGAATGATTATTTATATTTTCAAAATAATATTATAGTTATAAAGAATACTCACTATTAAAAAATATTATTCATTTTTTTAATTTGAAACAATTATGGTTTCATTTATATTAACCCAAATTAAACGCCAGGTATATCTTATTTATATTTACATTATTGTTATTTTATTAGTTTTTTATTTAGCATTGGATTGAAATATTATTGGATATTCGTGGTATATTTGATTGAAATTATTTATTAAAATTGTTTAACACTAAGCACCAACATAGATTAGAACTTTGAACAACTATAATATTTCATTGAGTATTTCTTATGACAAAAATTTATCCAAATTTTCTACATAGTTTTCTTTTTTTCTAAATGTATAAAATACAAACTTATGACTTGGAATAAATACGTGTCTATACATGGCATGCAGCATTATTTTGAAGATTACTAAACTACTTAAGTGTTACCTCTTATTTGTGATCTCTGGCTCCATCGTAACTTGATCATAACTTGATCAAGGAGGCAGACTTATACTATGTACATACCAAAACAATCACCTTTGTGCTAACTTTCACATATACTAAAGAAAATTACATATATAACTTGTAGTCAATTTCCCATAATTAATGTATCATCTTGCACCCTTGCTTTCTTCAAAAGAATTACCAACAATGGAAAGGCATGAAAAGACCATAATCTGGTAATGCAAAACAAACCAAACAAAATGGACTGTGCTAAAAAAGTATTTATTAAATTTGTGGTCAAAATGAGCACCAACACAAACTACTCATCTCTTTGCCAAATCTATCTTTACTTGCTTCATATATACCAGATGGGTATTGAAATCTATACCAACAATCCAACTCTTTGGATATAAAAGTAACAATATGATTCCTGTAGTTAATTATTGCTGAGTGATTATGAAGCCAGTCAATCCCAAGAAATATGGTTTCTCTATAATCTTCTAGACTAATAAAATTTCTTCTTTCTAAAAAGTTTAGTTATAACATACCAATTCCATAACTTTCATTTGAACTTATGGAGTTAGCCTTTCTGCAAAATACTTGGAATCGTGAACTACTTTAACCCCGAGTTTCCTGATAAGTATTCCAGAACTTGCACAACCATTATCTATTTCAATTCTGATTTTCTGATCATTGATTTCCCACAGTATGTATATGTTGATTTATTCTCTTGTATTTTTCTGGTCTTAGATAAGTTGTAATCACCCATGAGGCAACATGTAGTCCTCAAATGTTAGAGTATTTATTATGCTATTGCAGTCTAACTCTAAGCAATGTTTATGTATCCAAGGTGAACCTAAAATTATATCATAATCAAGAATCATTGGTAATACAGTCAAAGTCCTCATAACTTCACTCATAAACTTTGAGTTACTGTTAATAGTAATATTAAACTCATCCTTTGCCATCAAACCCTAAATTTACAAATTTTATGGATTAGATCCTTGAGGGGCTTTTGCTAGTCAACAACTTACACATGGTTCCACCATACAAGGAGAATAGCAATAAAGAACTTTCTCAACTTTTCCAATTGTTGGTTGTGCTGCAGCACGCAGCATTCAAAGAACGTACCCTAATTTACCTTAAGAAACCATTCTCTGGCATGGCATCGGAAAAATTAGTCCGTTACACTCGGGCATGAGCTCCAAAAAATTTCAAGCGCCTCCATGATGATCATTCCGGGATATGCCTCGATTGTGTTCCAACGTCGCTCAAAGCTCCTCGAGTCCACCAGCTTGCTCGCCTATTGGCCACGATTCGTATACGTTGCGAATAGCCTCTCGGGTTTAAGTTTCTGCTTAGACGCTTCATGCTTGAGCCTCTGCTTCTGCAGAAAGTTGTCAAGTGCAACCTGGTCACGCTCCATAGCTTCTTTCACACTTCCCAGAACGAAGGGCCTCTCCTTCTCTCTTTACTTTTCGGTAGAGCTATCCTGTTCTGTATATTCTCCTAGGATTGAGAGCATACGCAGATATCCAGCAAGCTTTGAAGACGTCCTTCCACGGCCTAGAAAGAAGAAAGAAATAATAAAACGATGGTTTAAACTCAAGAAAGAAGGAGCCTTCGACCAACTTTAGCAGAAGCTTCCATGTTCAAAGCATTTTCCTTGGAGTCGATGAGCGCCTCAATCTCATTGAGAAGCTTTAACTTCTCACTAAAGAACCCCTCGAAGTCCCACAACTCCAGCTGCCTCTTCTTGTTCATCAAATCCCCACCATGATCCTTCTTCGAGCCGAGTGCTCTGGACCATGGACCAAGCTGCCCTGTTTGACCAAGGATTCTATCGGAAGCCCTTCCCATTCACCGACATTGTCCGAAGAGCATTAGCCTAGGAAAAGGAGTGGCGACATTGATGTCCCTGGAGATCTTCTTGCGCTTGGTCGTGCCGGCGCCAGGCCGTGCGAGAAGGGCCACTGGAAAGCCTCTGCCCTGGAATGCCTCTTCTTGACGCCATTGAGAGCTTCCATGGCCGGATCATGCTCGCGCTACCACCGAGGCTGCCGGAGCTGCTGCCACTCGCAGTTAGTTGTTAAACCTGGAAATGTCCCGCCCAAGTCGAAGTATATTCGTTCATTTGAAATTTAAAACAAAAATGTTTGCCTCGTAAACTTCCGGAGATACAGAAAACTCGGCAGTTCGTCAATGTTTCTCGGCGAGATTGGACTTGATCTGGAATCATACAAGATCTTGCTATGAATAGTTTGATCTAGGCGCGAACCTTAGTTAGCGGTGGAATTGCTGTCTCCATACCTCGAGATTTTTCTCGAACGAAGGTTCCAACGCGATTGTAGAAAAGCTTGCCCTGGGGTCAAGCTCGTACCTTGACACTGGACTCATTCTCGAGCTCCCATTCTCATCGTCGGTCGCACAGAGAGCTTAATCCGATGGAAGATAGGGGCGGCGGATTTGCGTCGGTCAGCCTCTTCGAGCATCGGATCGCCCCATTGTTGTGAGAGCCTAGTCTAGCCAGTGAAGAAAAATATCTTACTGAAAGAAAGATCACATTGACCATCTGGAGGTGTTGGATCACATAAAATCCTGGAGTATTCTTCTTGTTACGTTCGATCCAAGCCGATCAAACGTCTTGGATGTAGAGGTTGTCTGGAAGACAATCCTAGCAGCCTGGCAGCATGACACCTGATCTCTCTGTCAAGAACTCCTATGGAAGTGCTTAAGCCTTGGTTCCCGCAAACTCCTCGTGGCGATTCGGTTTAAGCGGTCTACCAGCCTTCTCGCAATCTGGCTGCCGGATTGGCTTCAGTTCACTACGAGGCATGTCCTCCGTTTTCTAGTGTCTAGACAAGGCGGCGCCAGCAAAGCTAAGTTAAGTTCGCGCGGTTACTTCATCTGACTTTTCAGAAGATCGTTCCAGCTCAGGAGTTTAATCCTTGCGAAGTTTGGAAGGATCCTCCAAACCTTCTGAATCCTAACACAGGAAATCTAAAGTGAGACCTCGAGATCAAATAAAGCAACACGTAAAAGACTTGAAAACCTGGTCGTGCTTGTCGCTTAAATCGTCCTTTTGGAGAGCATCGTCCAGTGAGTTGTCAAGAAAGCTCAGATACTTCCCAAGAAAGCTCCCCTTCACCTCGCCAAGTTTCTGCTTAGACACTTCATGCTTGAGCCTCTGCTTCTGCAGAAAGTTGTCAAGCGCAACCCGGTCACGCTCCATGGCTTCTTTCACATTTCCAAGAAAGAAGCGCCTCTCCTTCTCTCTTTCCTTTTCGAGAGACTCCTGCTTCGTGAAATCTCTCTTCATCGTTCCTGGAAGCTGAGAGCACGCAACCAAAGCAATACTTCCGACCTAGAAAACTATATCTAAGTGTCACCTTCGTGGTTTTGGGACCTTCCAGCGCTGGTGCTGTCTGATCCTCTTGCTTTGCAGTCGCTACATTCGTTCTTGCTGAAATAACCTTGCCATCGTCCAAACCTTTGGTTCTCACGCTTTGTAGAGCTATCCTGTTCTCTATATTCTCCTGGCATTGAGAGCATACGCAGATATCCAGCAAGCTTCGAAGACGTCCTTCCGCGGCCTATAAAGAAGAAAGAAGAAATAAAACGATGGTCTAAACTCAAGAAAGAAGGAGCCTTCGACCAACCTTAGCAGAAGCTTCCATGTTCAAAGCATTCTCCTCCGAGTCGATGAGCACCTCAATCTCATTGAGAAGCTTTAACTTCTCACGAGAGAACCCCGCGAAGTCCCACAGCTCCAGCTGCCTCTTCTTGTTCATCAAATCCCCACCGTGATCCTTCTTCGACCCGACCGTGCTCTGGACCCTGGACCAAGCTGCCCTGTTCGACCAAGGATTCGATAGGAAGCCCTTCCCATTCACCGACATTGTCCGAAGAGCATTGGCCTGGAGCGCGCGGAGAAAGTTTGGATCGTGCGGTGGTGGTGAGTGATTGAGCTGCCGGAGGGAGAGGAGTGAGGAAGGGTGAGGAAGTAAAGGAGGAGGAGGAGGAGGAGTGGCGACATTGATGTCGCTGGAGATCTTCTTGCGCTTGGCGGTGCCGGCGCCAGGCCTCCACTCCATAGCCACGCGCGAGAAGGGCCACTGGAAACCCTCTACCCTGAAATGCCTCTTCTTGACGCCATTGAGAGCTTCCATGGCTGGATCATGCTCGCGCTACCCCGAGAGCATTGCGCCGCCGGAGCTGCCGCCACTCTGTTCGCGTGACAATGTTATAGCAGTTAGTCGTTAAACCTGGAAATGGTCTGCTGCCACGGCCACCATGGCCTCGCCACGTGGTCGGCGACGATCGTGTATGCGGGGCAGTCACCAGAGCTTACGCCGTCAAATTAAAAACAAAGAACGCCATGGTAATGCTCGGCTGGCATGGTAATTCATTTGAATCGCTCGCCTTGCCACGTGGTCGGCTAGGATCTTGTATGCGAGGGCGGGAATAAATTTAAAAACATGAATATTCGTTTCTTCTTCATTGCTTCGTTGCGAGGGTTTTC